CTTCGCCGAAGAACTCGATTAGATGTTTTTCTTCGTCTAGGATGGGTGAGCAGCTTGAATGGGGCCATGGGTGTGTAAGGCTTACGTGAAATGCGTGTCATGAAAAAATACCACAGCACGCCTGTGTATCCCAAGAAGCAGACAGTGTTACCCAGCATGACCTGTGTGCCGATGCCCCACCAGAAGAAACCGAAGTACGAGGGGTGACGGAAGTAGCGGTACAGTCCATGGGTCACCAATTCGTGCCCATCGCTCTTACGCGACTGCACTTGGTGGTTGAAGTTGGTACCCGCCTGCATCATCGCTGTGCTGCGCACAGCTTGTCCCACCACGACCATGCTTATGCCCAGCGCGATGACCCACGGCGGGTGGATTGTCGATTGGTAATCGGGAAAGAAAGACGAAGTCACCAGAGTCTCGATGAAGGCCATGGTATGGGCTTGTCGGTATTGGTCGCCGTTGGTGAGGAGGAACGAGGAGATGTACGCGACCGGGGTGTTGTACGCGGCCGTCGTGTAAAACTCGAGGAAGTGGAACATGGACAGCGCGCTGAGAAACATGAAAGGCCGCCATAGATGATTGCCGTCGTATGCTAGCAGAGCCGTACCGACGACGCCGAGAGTCATGGCGCATCCCAAGCAGAAAGCACGCACGGCGATGCCACAAAGCGAGCGCTTGCCGTGGGGAAAGAACTCGGGCGCGATGGCATGCTGGCTCCTAGCCGCCACAGTTGAGGCCTCAAGCTCGCGTGATGCATTTCCGTTGGGCGGGAGAATATCGACACCGGGGGATAGCGAGCCGTTCGGAGCCATGATGATGGCAGGCAGGTAGAGGTCAAGTACGGGGAGCTCGGGGGGCGAGGACGGGATGGACGATGGCGTTCAAGACATGGTTCTACCAAGGCGCAGAAGAAGGGGCCCTGCTGCACAACCCCGATCGCATGGCTTGCGGAGGCCGAACAATAGCAAGGCGTGAGCGACTATCCAGGACCGGCTGGCCTCGGGAACAGCCGAGGGCCTTGGCGCCCCGCGCATAGCTCCCGCGACCTGTGCTCCTTCACAACCGTCACACCGGCCTCGGTAGCATGCGCCGGGCAGCCAGCTTCCTGCATGCCAGCCATGGACATCTCGCAGAACAAGCAGCGTATGCTCTGCGGCGAGCTCTACCATGCCATGACGCCTGAGCTGACAGCAGAGCGCGCACGATGCAGGCAAGCTTGCAGACGCTTCAACGATGCCGGTGATGTACCGCGTCGCAGGCTAGTCCAACTGTTTCGAGAGTATGTGTGGCTGCTCGATTGCTTTTCGAGAGACGTCCTTATACTTTGCCTAGCATCATCCAAGACGAAACCCCTCTTCCACCACCAGCACCTACAACAGAAGAAGACGCCAAGCTGTTCGAGGCTGAACCATGGATTAACCCACCGGTTACTATGGACTATGGATATAATGTGCGTTTGGGCAAACATGTCTTTGTCAACTTCCACGCCGTCTTCCTCGACACCTGTCTTACTACTATTGGCGCACGCACACTCGTCGGTCCGAACGTCAACTTCTACTCAGCTACTCATCCTCTCGACCCAGCCATCCGGAACGGCCTTAGCGGGCCTGAGTTGGGCAAGGAGATCCACGTTGGCGAAGACTGCTGGATCGGTGGCAATGTTTGCATACTGCCTGGTGTTATGATTGGTAGAGGTAGCGTCGTAGGCGCAGGAAGCGTCGTTACGAAGAGCGTCCCAGAGTTTACAGTCGTCTCTGGCAATCCCGCTCGCATCATCCGCAAGATCGAGACCGAAATGGACTCTGAAAGCAATAGTCGCCATGCTGGCAGGCAGAACGACCTGCAGCACTGACTTGTATATCAGTCACCCTCGCAATGAGCTTCCCCTCGTTACGAGCGGCAGTTTCACAACTCTCAAATGGAGCATCACGAGTTCTCTCGGACTCCGAACTGCATTTGGAATGGCAATGTAAGAAGAGAAGGCTACAGTCGCATAAACCTCCCTACAAATCTCTGCTGCTCCTGCAACTGATACACCAGACCTTGTTACGCCGTGCTTTAGTGGACTCTAGCGCTTCTTGCCGCTTCCAGCTTCCCTCAGCATTTTCCAAACGGGGCGATGAATGATTGCACGCCTCTGAAGATCCTCTAAGATCTTAGATATTTGCAATACGGATACGATTATGAACAGATTCGACGCGAAACTTGTTTATCTTGACAGATTGTTTGCAACAAGCAATATCGTAAATCTTTTTGCTTACACATCTCTACAGTCTAATGAAGCATCATTGTGCGTACTCAAGGATCAAATCCACAGATACACAGCGCGATCAAGTCGTATGAGCACGCAACAGGAATTGGGCGACCTGAAGCCTGCCTGTGTCGATCTGGAACAATTGTGGGGCGTTTGGACTAAGGTTCAACACAAGATCTGATGATCGCCTGCAAGCTTCGGGCGCCAAGACCGACGAAACCTGTTCCCAGACGCTGTCAAAACAATGACATCGGCTTGCAAAACATCATTAACTAATCCAACTTACATGCACGACATGGCGTACCTTGCGAGACGTCCTGTTTGAGTTTAGGGCTGAACTTCGGCATCGCTCGCTTTGAGGGTCTCGGCAATTTGGAAGGCCATTTGGAAGCGCCTGATTCAAAATATGGCATACTTCGAAACTACGCCATTGAGCTAAGCGTGTGCTACCTGACTTGACGCCAAGGGCTGCGAGCCCTAGGGCTTGATCCCCAGACTGTTACGATGCATAGGCCTGCCCACCATCATGCCTTGACGGCAAGGCTTTCCGAAGTTGTAACAGAGGCGATACAAATACCACAGCTCCCATCATCCTGATAGTCTTCATCGGACTGGTTCCTCACTCACTACAGACTAATATTTTCCACTCTACAACCTCAGCATTCCATTCACTCTTTGATATCTCTACTCATAATCTTAGTCCACTCGACAGATCCGTTCTCACAGACAAAATGAAGTACATTTTCATTGCCTCGCTCCTTAGCTCTGCAGCTTACGCTGCCCCATTCGCCCAGGTGCAGGGCGGCAACGGTGGTAACGGCAATACTGCTGCCGCCACGACTGGTCAACAGACTACGAACCAGGGCGGCAATCAGCAACAACAGCAACAAGGAGCGCAGACCGGAAACCAGCAACAGCAAGGCACCACCAATGCCCCGACTGGACTTGGCGCTGGTATCCAAAATGGACAAACTCCCACTGCGAACGACCTCGCTACTGCGGTCTCCAATTGGATGGCCGATACCTCGATGGTTTCTAACTTCCTCAACACTGGAGCTAGCATCCAGAACAACGTTCAGTTCAAGCAGGCTGCCACCGTAGCCTTCAACGCCGAGGTCGATGAGCTCAACCACAAGGCCATCATTGACGCTGCTAACGGCGCGGACCCCAATGTCATTGCTGCCAACAGCACCCTCGCCACTGGCGGTTCTTTCCAGGATGTCGTCGACAAGCTTCAGCAGATGTCTGTTCAGGGAATGGCTGCCGCTGGTAACATCGACTTGATCAACCAGAACCGCTGCGTTAACGTCCTCCCCAACATTGATGCCTACATGGCCTCTACTGGATCTACCTCGCAGGCAGTTCGTCCCACTGTCTGCGACCAGACTGGCGTTGCTGGTGGTGTCCAGGGCACTGGCCCCACTCAGCCTGGTGCGCCAGCAGGTAGCCCCGCCGCTGCATTTGCCGCTGGTCAGGCTCTTGCTCAAGGAACTGGCAATGGTCAAGTCCAGAATACCGGAACAGCTGGTGGTGCTGCCGCCGGCAATACTGGCACCGCTACGAACAACGGACAAGCGCCTCAGCAAGGCGCCGGCATCTCCCCTACCAACGGACAAGCACCCCAGGGAACTACAGGTGTGCAGGCTCCCCAGCAGGGAGCTCAAGGTGCCGCCGGACAGCAGGTTCCACAACAAGGTCAACAAGCTGGACAACAAACGGGACAGCAGCAGGGACAGCAGAATGGACAACAGGCGACACCAAATGGTGGTAACCAGAACAATGGCAACCAACAGCAGGGAACCAAGGGTGCGGCTGCAGGACAGCAGTCTCAAGGCCAGACGCAAAACGGCGGTTCCCAGCAACAGGCAGGCAACGGTGCGGCTGCAGGCCAAGCATCTCAGGGTCAGACCCAGGCCGGAGGTAACCAGCCCCAACAGGCAGGTAATGGTGCTGGACAACAGTCCCAGGGCGGCAACGGTGGCAACAACAACAACAACAACAACTGAGCACTAGGCTTGGTACTTGATTGAGAAGATGATGTGAAGGATTAGCAAGGTGACGGCTATGTGCTGGCGACTAGCCAATCGGTCTTTTCTGTATATAAGAATAATGGTTGAAAGGGGGGATGACTGTGGGAGCCTGTATGTAAGAATGTATGAGGAAGGAAGGGATTATATGATATAGTTGTAGATATGCGATTTATGAGCCTGCCGCCCAGTCTTTCTGTTTTGGACTTGCATGCGATGGCACTGACTTGAAGATCAAGGTTTCGAAACCTCAGGCGTGAACGCGTGGATACCTGACGGTCGCGGAAAGAAGCCAGTGACGTGAACCGTGTCTTGGGTACGCCTGGGCCAGGGGCAAGTTGCGGTGGCTGCAGCACAGGTGAAACGATGTACCAAACATCAGGTGCTACAGGACCGGATAGCTTGATATATGCCAGAATGGGAGGGTGCGAGACGGACGAGGCGTCAGGCGCCTGTGCTGGTCACGACATGTCGGATGTTTGATGCCGTCTCTCACCGACTCCGGGGTTCTGAGGTGCTGACACGTGCGCAAGTCGCGTGACGTAGCGACATGAGAAGTGTGCGCTCGTTGCGGCAAGCAACATAGAGGCTGCAGCGGGCCGATGAAAGCGTGTGCTGGCATGCATATGCTACGGCGCCTTGTACCGTCGAGGCTCGCCAAGTGTGCAGTCTAGCTGAGAGTCAACCGCAGGCGCCTGACGAGCAGTTTGCGACGAACCATGGCCGAGGGCGAGGGCGCTGGCGGAGTCCAGGGCGACCTGGAAAAGGAACTGACGTGCTCGGTAAGTCGAGGAGCACGACGACGAGGCGGCTGCTAACTCGGCCATGGCCAGATCTGTACCGACGTGCTCTACCAGCCGCTCACGCTGCTCGACTGCCTGCACACCTTCTGCGGCGCCTGTCTGAAGGAGTGGTTTGCCTTCCAAGCCTCGACCGCCACGTCGATACACCCGTACACCTGCCCCTCGTGCCGGGCCTCGGTGCGCACCACACAGCCCAATGCCACCGTCACCACGCTGCTCGACATCTTCCTCAAGGCGAACCCCCAGAGCGGCAAAAGCGCCCAAGAGAAGCAGGCGGACCGCGACAGATACCGGCCAGGCGACAATGTGCTACCCAAGCTCAGGCGCCGGGATGAGCGCGATGACACCCATCAGCGCATGCTCGAGGCAGCTCAGCAGCCGAGTCTGAGGGACGCGGGCATCGCAAGCAGCAGGAGGGCCAGCCGGGAGCCTCGGAGAGAGCGCACAACAAGGGAGCGAAGCCGCAACGGGAGGCGGTCTGCCAGCCAAAATCCGCCCGGCGCATCCCCGTCCAGGGCCGTCATACCGCCCCGCGCCATCGAGCACCAGTCCAGCCTGCGCTCTCTGCTGAGCGCCTCGGACCTCGACGCAGAAGACGTCGACGAAGATCTCGTGCGCCAGGTGCTGGAGGAGCTGGTGTCCGAGGGCGTCGACCTGAACCAGATTGGCACTGCGCAGGAAGACGAGATCACCGAGAGGATAGCCGAGGCTGTGCGACGGCGGCAGGCAGAGCGACATGCTGAAAGACAGCGCGAGAGGAGGGAGAGGCGGGAGCGTCTGGACGACGAAGCTGCGCGCAGGAGAAGGCATGGACGTTCCGAGAGTGGCGCATCGACGCCCCAGACGGCAGTAGGACCCCCTATATCCAGACCTGCTCTCATCGACGCCGCAAATCGAGGCGGGCGGGCACCGCGCCAGCGATCGTCAAGCCAGGGCAGCTCTCGATCCGCCACGAGGGTAGAGCGCCCTACACCTGGCTCGGCTCCTGCAAATCCGGCGACCGGCGACCGTCATTCATCATCGGAGCTCGCTCGTCCAAGGCCACGTCGACAGTCCGACAATCAGCAGAGAAATAGGCTCGACGTTCGAGAGCAGTTCCGCATCAGTCTCCACACCAGCAACAACAATAACAACAATGAGACAGTGTCAAGTCCTAGCTCGCCCCAGAGCCTCGGCTTCGATCTGCCCAACAGCGGCAGTCCAACGACTTCTCTAGCTACAGTTGGCACTCCAGCTGTGCCCTTGTCTTCCTCTACTCCTGCCGTCACGCCTTTCCAGCCTCCTTCGGCTCGCCGTACTACCGACCCTACCACAGCCGAACTGCCACGCTCTTCTCACAGTACTACTCCCCCCTCGCTATCGCCTCCTGCTTTCCCTCGTTCCACCCCCGATCCGACCGTGAGCGAGACTCGATCGAGACAAGCTTCAAGCTCATCACTAGGTACTCCTGTCCTATATACAGAGCCCCATGTGGCATGCCAACGCTGTGGTAAAAACGACATACAGTACGAGCTTCACTACAATTGTCGACGCTGCGATGGTGGCGAGTACAACGTGTGTCTTCGCTGCTATCGTCTTGGCAGAGGATGCAAGCATTGGTACGGCTTTGGTTGGACTGCTTGGCCCCGGTATGAGCGCGAAGCACCAGAGGGTGGTTATCCGCCCTATCACGAGCATCCCCATATCCTGGTCGGGCACCGATATCGCAGACCCATGACGCCCTTGACGGAATCCACGACACCACCACATGTGCTCATGAGCGAGGATGACCCCAAGCAGAGGGTAGAAATTGGCGTCTTCTGCGATATGTGCAAGGCATACGCCAACGCCTGCTACTGGAAATGTGACTATTGCAACGACGGCGACTGGGGCTATTGCAATGATTGCGTTAATCAGGGGCATCACTGTACGCATCCTCTTGTTCCCGTTGCCCGCAAGACAAGAGACTCGCAGTCTGCTACTGACACAGTTCCCTCCGCGCCCTCTACGCCACGTCAGGATGGACATCTTGCTCCCCCAGACCTCGACGCAACACCCACAACCCCTCCGTTGACACCGAAATCCGCGTCTCTTATGCGAGGGCCAGGGTACTTTACCATTGCGAATTTCATCTTCCGCCCTCTCACCTTTACAACCTTGTGTAACATATGCAGTTACCCTATCCCACCATCAAACACACGCTATCACTGCCTCAAGTGTAACACTGGCGACTACGACATTTGCATGAGCTGCTACCACAAACTCGTCATCAGCGGTCGCATCACCAAAGAAGACGGCGTAAACGGATGGCGCAAGTGCCTCCGCAGCCATCGCATGTACATTGTAGGATTCGAAGACCGTGACGGCGCACAACGGCGCATGGTTGTCCGCGATCTAGTAGGCGGCTACGCACTGAAAGAAGAAGACGAAATGGCCAGAGTACAGCGGTACCCACCAGATGGCGGTATAGGCTTGAGATTACTGGCTAGATGGGGCTATCTGCCGGATGAAGGAGTAGAAGATGAATTATCCTTTCCTAGAGGAGCAGAGATAAGGGAAGCAGCTGATATCAATGGAGACTGGTATTGGGGTGTTTACTGTGGTGTTGGAAAACTGTTTCCTGCAAACCATGTCACATCTGTCTAAGTTTTATGCATAGATAGTCAGCTGCCGATGCTACACAGACTCACTGCGCAAACTTCCTCTTCAGCCAATCCTCCAACCGCTTCACCACCTCGGCAGGCTTCTCATACGTCGCCCAATGCGCCGCATCAATCATATCCGCTTGTTCCAATTGCGGCAACAAGCCCTTTTTAATACTCTCATACATGGCTTCGGGTCTGCACACCACATCCTCTCTGCATCCGATGTACAGCGTGGGTACATTGACAATCTCTCTCCCTTCAGGCAACTTGACATCGACTTGATGCTGCAGATTGCCTGTCATGGCTTTATACCAGCACACGGGCGCTTCGAACCCATCGCGCGCCATACGATCAAGGAACGCCTTCTTGAAAGCTGGGTCTTGCGCATAGGGTCGGAGAGAAAAGGTTGGTTCCTTTTGCCCGGAGAGTGTTTCACGCATGGTGTCGGGGGTGCAGAAGAACTCTTTCAATCCATCTTTGTCGTGCATCATGTTAAACATGGCCTCTATATCGCGGGATAGAAGTGCTGGTCCGTCAGGCGCGGTGAAGAGGTACCAGTACGATAGCGATGGGTAGCCAAAGATGTTGTTCATGAGGGCGTTTGCGGCGTCGAGATCGAAGGGTTTGCGACTTGGTGCCGTGTAGGCGACGTTCAGGTTGACCAAGCCGACAACGCGTTCGGGGTGGTAGTTGTACAGGCGGCTTGCGGCTGCGGAGCCCCAGTCGTGGCCGATTGAGATGCATTTTGGCGCTTGTTCAGCATTGAGGATTTCCACCATGTCGTTGGTCATATGGTCCCAGGTGTAGGCGGATGGGTCTGTGGGCTTGTCCGTTCCGTCGTAGCCCAGCATGTCGGGAATGATAACGGGGTGGTTTAGTGGTCGGAGAGAGCTAGCGACGTCTGCCCACATGGCGGCATGGTCGGGGAAGCCGTGTTGGAAGAGGAGGGTTGGGAGAGACGTGTTGCCAGAGCACGTGTAGTAGGTGTATGTGATGCCTCGGGAGGTTCTCAGGGTCTTCTTGGTGAAAGCGTCCATGGTTGATCTCAATGCAACGTACTTGAAATGGCTTGTTGTAATTGGTAAAGAAAGGGCAAGAGTCTTCTATGTATACCAGTGCCAAGTCTCGTTACATCTTGTCCCTCACAAATGGAGTCCATGTCGGCCGAATGTTGGTCTTTGCTAGGTAGGTACTACTACCCAACCGGAGTTTCCGTCGTAGCTACGTCCGTAGCGGCGTTGTCGGGTCTATAAATTTAGTGGGGTGCTCCGTAGAGTTGCATGAACTTGTCTAGGTTGAGGCAGTTGGCCGGACCGTGATGTGCAAGGACACGACCGCTAGGGAGGAAAGCGGCGGTCCCGGATCGTGCATGATATGGCCGGGCCTAAGATGGAGCTTGGATGATCGTTGTTTACGCCTCTCATTGCCGCGCGGTGGTTTGGGTGATTGCTGCTCGTGGCGGCTCTCCGATGCGCTGTCGGTCCGGTCTGCGCTCGGTATGGGTCGAATCTGAACGTGGAGGAAACCGCTGAGTTACGACAAGGGCTGCGCGAATACTGCCGGTTGAGCATTCCGACACGACAAAGCCGAGGGTTCTGGTTTGAATATTTGACTTTACGTCGCGGTGCGCTTAATCGCGCGTATAGCCTCAGACCGAGGAGATGCCTGCATAGTATCATAGCGGAGCATGGCTATTTGAGTCGTCGAGTGACATTTTGACGAGGTTCTGGCTCGAACGGGTCCATAAAATGTCCTTCGGATGTCCTTCGGGTGGCAAATACTGTGTCGAGGTGCGGAGCGAAGTACAAGCGGCAAACACGAGAGATATCAGCCAATAGCGTCAGAGCGCTGCACGCTCGCGGCGTACAGCACCTTACTTATCTTGCTGCGCGTTTATTATATAAATTATATATAATTACTAATTATTTTTTTTAGTATTAAAATTAGTAGTATAGTATTATAATATTACTTTTTAAATAAGTAAGTAGTAGCTAGTACTATAAAATAGTAAAAAGATTTAGTTAATAACTAAAGTTTAGTAGTAACTTAAATAGTTATAATAACTATAAGTAAGGTTTTAAAAGGCCTATAAGTAGTATAAGATTTTATTTTACTACTTTTATTTTAACTTTATTATAATTTCTAACCTATATACTATTATAAATATTAAGTTTATAATATATATTTTATATATAACTTAACTTACTTAGTTCTAAGCTATTTAAAATAGCTTAAAAACTAAAATAGTAAGCTAAAAAAACTTTATATATCTTACTACTAACTTTAGTAGTTAAAATTATTATATTATTATTTTTAGAGTTTACTATAGCTTTATTACTATAGATTTAGGTATATAAAAGTAGTAGTATATACTTATTACTTAGTACTTAGTACTTAGTATTTATTTATAATTTAATTATATTATTATAATATAGATATAACTATATAAATACTAATAATAATAATAATACTAGCTTATCTTTTTTTTTTCTTACTAATATACTTTACTAATCTACTTATTTATATTAATACTTACTATATTTATCTTTTTAGTTTTTTATTATTATTTTTTACTATATATTATTAAAGTTACTTATTATAAGCGTACACGCGCCTATATTAGTTAGCTAATTTAATCTAGAGTTATTTTAGAAAATAAAAAAAAAGTTTATATACTTATAGAGAGAAAAGCTTATACTTATAAAAAGATAGTCTAGACTTAATTATAGATATCTAAAAGGTTTTTAAATAATATATTATTTAAGCTAGCTATAAGAGTCTTACAGAGATTAGATAGTTAATATTATATTAAATTATAATATTATTATAGTAAGGCTTAAAAGAAGCACTTAGAAGTTAAATATATACACTATAGGTTATTAGGCTAACATAGGCCTAATACTTAAGAAACTAAACTATTATATATCTCTCTCTAAAAGCGCTTAAAGTTCTAACTAAGTAGATAAAAGAGAAAATCTATTACTATAACCTATCTAAGATAGTATTAATATATCTAAGAGCTTATTTTATAACGTCTATAACTATAAGCTAAGAACGTAGAATAGTAGAGAGTGTAATAAAGAAGAAGTAGAGTAAAGAATAAAAAGTATAGAAGAGAATGTTAGTAAGAGGTAATAAGTAGTAGAGCTCTTAGCAAACTAGAATACCTATATAGAGAACTCTAGACTAGGTAAGGCTAATAAGTTATAAGTAGAGTAGTAAACTACCTTATAGCCTATAGTAGCTATAGAGGTTAAAGTTAGGTAAAGATATATATTATAATTAGCCTAGTAAGCTATAGAAGCATTATAGCTAGGTAAGTTTTTAAATAACTAGCTAGTTCTTTCTAAGTATATAAAGTCTAGTAGCTAGAGTATAGTAATAATAAGCTTTCTATTATTATTATACGCGTAGAACGTATTATAAGGCCTTAGCTTACTAGAGTTCTACTTATAATAGTTATAGATAGACTTTTTATATCTATAAAGGTTATAATATAGCTACTAGTTATTACCTTAATTATTATCTACCTACTTAACTATATACTATAGGCACTTTTAATAGTATATATATAGATTAATAACGTTGCGCTATACGTAAGAGTTTAGAACTTAGGTAATAATATACTCTATAAGGCTTTTATTAGTAAAATAGACTTCTAGAGAATTAATATTACTAGTATATAGCTAATCTAGAAGAGTGTTATTTTTATAGAGCTATAGTAGCTATAAGTAGAAAGTAGAGAAAAGACTTTATAAGTTCTAAGAGAGATCTAATTTATAAGCTATATAATTAATTACTTAAGTAATTTAGTATAGGCTAAGGTTCTTATAATTAAGTAACTTAATAGGCCTTTCTATCTTAATATAATAAGTGTTAAGTATTACCTAGTTACTTACTTTAAACCTAAGTGCAAAGTAATAGTTTATATTAGTAAACTTACGTATCTTCTTATAGAACTAAAGAAGCTTCTTATAAAGAAAGTATTATATATTATTAATATACGTTACTAGCGTATCTATAGTATAGGTCTATAGTATTATAGTATAAGGTTAAATATATAAGAGTTTAAGCCTAGATCTTAGTTAATAGCTCTTTATAGCCTAGAATAGAGAAACTCTAGTTATAGCGCTAACTATAGAGTTAGCTTTAAACTTTATAAGAGAAAGTAGCTACGTCTAGTCTATTTAGAGATAGTTAATATAGAAGTATAGATATTACTTTAAGTTAGTATTTATATTCTTAGTCTAGCTATCTATTTCTAGATAGTAAGATATAAATAGCTTAGATACTATACTAACACATTTATAAAGTTATTACTAGAATATAAATATAAACTAGTAGCTTTAGTTAAAGATAAGTATACATAAGTACTTTTTCTCTCTCTATACGTACTCTATAAACTTATCTACTATAGTAAAAACTTTAAAATTTTCTATAGTAATAAACTTCTTCTTTTTAGAGAGATAGTCTATAATAACTATAATATATTAGTATAAGTAGCTATACTACTATAATAATAGCAAAGGTATAATAAAGTTAATAGAAATATTCTTCTAGTACTTCTTAGAAACTAGTAGTAAGTAGAGTAACCTATATTTTGCGCTATAATTAACTTTAGAGTAATAATATATTATATAGCTATTTATAAATTACGCTATAGTATTAGTTATACCTTACTAATAGTACTACTTACTAACTTACTAATAGATAGTTATCTATCTACTATATTCTTTAGAGAGGCTATTATAGATATACTTAATAACCTTTGTATAAAGTTTCTTACTAAAGAGTACTAGTAATTAGTTATTATAAAGAAAGAGCTATCTTTTATTACTAGCTTCTAAATTACTAAGTTTAAGGCGTAGACCTTTAATAATTAGATAGTAAAAGATATAGTAATTACTAGCTTTAAGAGCCTACTAGATAGCTATAAGACGCCTATTAGACTTATAGAGCTAAGTAATAACGTTCTCTAAGCTTATCTTATTAGCTTCTATA